CTCTACAAGCTTTCCCCCAGAATGATTTCATTGACTTCCTTAAATAATTTGCAAATATCTGTTAGTGTACATTTGCTTCCCTAATGAGAATATATAATCCCCTGAAAGCAAGTGATATATAATATTTTATACATATTTGAATTATGCCCTGAGTAACTTAGTGCCTAGTACGATGCTTTAATTTTTTGAAGCATTCAATATATTTGTTATATACACATAAATAAAGATAAGATATAATCCTTATTCTCAAGGAATTTAAGTTTAATTTGCAATAGGAGGGAAAAGATAAGTAATAAGGAGAAAGTAGATGAGCCTACCTAGAAACACGTGAATGTGTATATGTATGTGCATATATAAGATACCAGAGGGAGCTAATGTTCAATATGCATCAGGTATATTTCTACTGTAGAAGAGCAGCTGTTATTTTAATTTATTTTCTAAATTTAGATCTAGATATATTGGGTTTTCTCACAGTAAGGTATTCTTGTGGCCTCTGAGATATGAAATGTAAAAAAAAGGGTTTGGGGTCACTTACAGCAAGAATTTGTAGGAGATTCTTTATACCAATACCCTTTTAGGAAGTTTTAGATAATTTCAGATGTTTCAACCTGACTCAGTCCCTTTTATTTACCATTCACAGTATAGTGTAATGTTTCTTGATTACCGAACATATATTCTTCAATTTTCCAATGAAAGACCCTTTGCAATTAGAAGAAAGGTTCCTTTGATGAACTTAATTTTTGTATTTCCTGAGTTGATGCTGATATTTTTACATATGAAATATTCCACTAAAATAAGCTTTTCTTTGCTAATAATTGCAGATGGGTGAGGAAAACTTTCAGTACAACTTATTATTCTGAGCACTCTGTACTTTCATGAATATTAGTTAGACTTTATTTTATAAACCATTTAATACAAAACATCATTTAACAACAAGCTCTTTTATTTTTTTCCCCATAGGTCCATAGCACTAGGACCATATACTAGGATCTAGATGCAAAACACTTACAGACAGAAGGTGTTCTGGCCAGGTTGCTAAGCTAAAATTAGTACAGCCATCTTTCATTTCGGTTTTTCATTTAATAAACCTGCTTCCTTGCATACTCATTTTATCTGAACTTTTTGAGTTAGGTTACGTAAAAAGACACCATTTTAAGCAGCAATAGCCCAAATGATATCCTATAACCACTGATTACATGTTCCCTATTCACTTAGCTGAAACACCAGAAAGTTACCAAAAAAAAAAATCCACACACACACACAAAATTTGTACTGTTAAACTTTCTGAACCAATAAAAATGTTCTGAGGGTACCACAACACAAAAAGCTTTTTCTCCCCTCTCTTTTAAGATTAAAGTATTTTCTCTTATTCTGAAATTGTCCATAATTTTTGGAAGCATCTTTGAGAGCAAGGAGGAAATCTCCCACTTTAGCAGAAAAGCAAGACTCATGATGAGATTGTCAAAGGTGGCTGATCTGCCTGCCTCAGTCTCCCAAAGTGCTGGGATTATAGGCATGAGCCACTGCGCCCAGCCTTAGCAAAGTTATTTCATGATCAAACTTGTTATGTTTGAATAAGAGATCTGGATACTTTATCTGTTTCTATGTTTTGTATTTCATTCCACTTCTTTTTCTTTCTTCCCCACGACATTTTTTTTGAGATAAGGTCTCATTCTATTGCCCAGGCTGGAGTGCAATAGAATCTGGTGTGATCATAGCTCACTGCAGCCTTGAACTCCTGGGCTCAAAGGATCCTCCTGCCTCAGCCTCCTGAGTAGCTAGGACTACAGGATGGATGCATTTATTTTCTTTTCCCTTAAGTTTCCTGGGAAGGTTTTTGAATGGCAGAGAGGCCAATGGTAGAAGCAGCATCACAGAAGGCACCACAGTCCTACCCATGCAGGCAGACATCTGGAATGTAAGGAAAGGAGGCTGGGGAAAAGCTCAGGATCTAGTTTTCTCTAATGTTCCTAGGACTGAGTAAATACAGTAATCTAGTGATGTTCAGAGAAACAATAAATTTCTCCTGATAGTACAGGGTTAGCTAGGACATGCAGTTAAATAGGGACTGGCAGACACCTGCAGCTTTTCATTCAAAGGCTCAGCATATCCAGTTACTAAATGAACCCTGACAGGCCATGCATTCCCAGCGAGTAGGGCAGTGTCCTGAGTCATAACTCTGCCTAGCACTGTGGCTTTCTCTCCTCTCTTCTTAAAAGACAGTATCTTGTAGATCTTGCTCCTCAACTTGTGACAGTAAAGGCTGAATCTCAAAATACCAAAGTTCAAGTGCTGTTGAGAAGTAATAGCGTAAGAGGAGATTAAGGGGTGGGGCTGGGTAAATGAGTGAGGCACATGTACAAGGAATAGGTTTAGATTTAGAGCAACTGCAGCCTTAATGCAGTTGGAGCTCCTCTCTTTAATTTCTTAGTTTTAGGTATGTTTCACATTAAGCTGGAGGCCCAGTGCTTATTGATGCTAATTTAACATCAGTATCTGACCCACCCTTTTAGTAACTCAGACCTCTTTCCCGTAATTTTGAGCTTCATTTTACAGGCAAAGATTGGCCTGTACAACAAACCAATGGAGTTACAAAAAAAGGTTTGTTCTTTCTCAGTTTATCAGATAGTTTACCATCCATTTTGGCCCCACAATTGGAGTGGACTGTTCACATCTTAAAACACAGTGGATTTTCCAGGTAGCCTGTATCTTAGGAACTTCCTTCTACTCATCACAGTTTTGTCAAAAATAGATCTTTAAAAATGTCAAAATGCAAAAGAGAGAGAGAAAAAAAAAAACAGCTGTAGTCTTTCAATGTGTTACGCAGTCCGAAGTGACCTTATCTCAGGCTATTTGAGGCACAAAGCAAGATTTTTACATTTCAGCTTAAATCATGATTAAAACAACTGTTTTTTTTTTTTAAAATAATAGTGTTATAGTAATATCTCAAAGAACTGAGTATCACCTAATTCTATGTAGCAATAGTTACAGTATCAGGCTGCCAAGTTTTAGTTTGAGATAGCCTTTGAGGGAGAGCAGGACAGAGGAATTCCTAATGTTTTTTCTTTTAATATTTTGTGGAAACATATTCCAGAGAAACAATCTAGAATTTCAGAATAAAAACTATGTATTTTTCAAAACTCCTGGGTAGAGTTCACCAAATTAAAAACACAGACACTTAGTTGAGACTTCTGCTGCCAGAACACGTTAGTGAAAAGTTGTAAAGTGAGAGTTTAATAGGATAAGTGCCAGTTCCTTGCTAAACCCAAACTTTTAACACCTTAAAAGATGTAATATGTTGAAAACGACTTCATATTTAACCTCGTCAAAAAGAAAGAAATCCAAATGTTCATGTGGGCTTGGATATCTCTCAATGTCAAGGCTTGGGCAAGAGGCCACCCAGAGACAGGGCACCACATCCAGAGCCCATGGTCTTCCCCCAGTTTCAGTCCAACACATGACTTAGCAATTTACTGTATCCGCGTTATATTCAGGTCCAGCTGCCTGAACATAGGCTCTCCATCTTACAGAGGGGCAGCTGTGAATGCTGGGAAATTACCTGTGTCCTGAGAATGAACTAGCATGATTCTTTTTTTTTTTTTCTTTTTTGAGATGGAGTCTCACTCTGTCACCAGGCTGGAGTGCCGTGGCATAATCTCGGCTCACTGCAAGCTCCGCCTCCCGGGTTCAAGCGATTCCCCTGCCTCAGCTTCCCCACTAGCTGGGACTACAGGTGCCTGCCACCACACCCAACTAATTTTTGTATTTTTAGTAAAGACGGGGTTTCACCATGTTGGCCAGGATAGTCTTGATCTCTTGACCTCGTGATCCACCCGCGTCGGCCTCCCAAAGTGCTGGGATTACAGGCATGAGCCACCGTGCCCAGCCACACAGTTCTTATTGTAATCCCTAAGCCTCTTCATTATCTTCGTATTCCTTCCTGTCACTGGCTATTGCGCTACTTCAGGGTGCAACTAGATGAATGGGCCTTTCCCTTCCTCCCTAGGGCAGAGGTGCAAGGCTAGTTTTAGAATACCGCTTATATCATTAGTTCAGTTCCTTTTTCGTATGATCTTCCGGCAGGGAGAGCCTCAGAGAACAGGCCTTCCATCCCTATTCTAAAATTGGACAAGACGGGTTTGGAATTCAGATTCTTTTCAGAGATGGTGCCTGTAACATACATGACACAAAACCTCCAGCGGGGGGCTGAGCCAGCACCTCACAATCAAATACATGAATATTTCACAATAAATGTTATAAATAATACTGTAAATAGCCTCAAATAAGTATATGGCAAACTTTGCCAAAAAATGAACTCTAGTGTTAAATTTGCAAAAGAACGTTCAGTTTTCCTGGCATTTAGGATTTTAAAATTGAGGACAAGAGATTTTAGATCTGTATTATTAGGTTTTCAAAAAGTTAAGACAAATTAACCTGTTTGTTCTTAGAGAAAAAAGAGATGGGGATCTATTTACAAATAGCCTAAAGAGGTCTTTCACAGTAATCTTTTTGACATAGAATTTGACTATATTGAACAGGATTTGATATAAGTGGGTCGTCCTAATCCCTGGCATATTCTATTTTGCAGAGCCAGTCTGTGACTGTGCTATTGTCGTGGAATCTGAGCTGCCTAGTCATGCTTCAGAGCAAGGGACCAGAAATGGGCAGACCTAACCTCTCTGGGACGCTCAGGAACATTCCCAGACTAGAATAAAAACCTCAACAAGGCAGGAGAGGGAGCCAACTGGCATGCATGTGCTATGACTCCATAATAAAGTAATTACACAGTTTGATTTTTTAAGCATGTAAAACCAAAAACCTTATCTTCTTAATACAGGGGAATTTTTTTTAAAAAGCCGAAACCTTTCAAGTTTTAAAGGTGGGATTGGGAAGATTATATTCTAGGTTGTCATGCTAGGGGCCATATACAAGGGAAGGGGTACATTTTCCCTGAGATCAGGGGTTGTCACCATTGAAGACATATAGAGATCAAGGCTTACTTGGCTTCCAGGGCCAGTGCAATGATGCCTGCAGCCATGGGGGCTGAGGCCGACGTCCCAGTGTGGTTGTCCGTGCAACGCTGCCTCAGATCTGTAGTGATCTGGAAAACAAAGTGAAAAGTTTAGATCTCTGAGGCCAATGTGAGTTATCTGCAAGTAGAAAGAAATATACTCACAAAAATAGAATGGGGGTATATGTTAAATGCTTGTTTTAAATTCCTTGTTTCTACATGCCTGTAAATCATATCACTTCCAGAGAATTGCCTGCGTAGATCAACTCTGAAAAGGGAAGGGTTTGGAAACTGAACTCCATTTCTGTTAAAACCAGGGTGAAAACCAGGATGAGCCTACGGATGAAAACATAAAGACTGTGCAAATACCTCTTTAAATTCTGCTCTGTAAGCATCTTGCTTGCTTCTCCCTAGTGCCAGTTCTGGTTAAAACTGAAGTTCTTTCCTTGCCCCAACATTTTAAAATAATCAAACACATTGTATCAAATCCAGATACTGAGCAGGCATTGGCAACATACAGAATAAAAGTACACAGTCCCTGCAGCCCAGAACTGTTACCTTGGGGAACCACAGATTTCAAGCCAAAAGTATGCTCTGCCATAGAAAGAACCTTTGGTTGTGGACCTGTTTCTAGAATCAATAGAAATGTTGCATGGATGAACCAAGACTTCCTCAAAGACATAACATAGATACTAAAAATAAGGCTGAAGCCAGTGTACTTGATATGCAGTTACAGCACTAAGTGTAAGCTTGTATATTAGAGAAAATTAGTTATTTCTCCATTTTATTTTTTAATCAAAATGTGAGAACTAAGTCATTTTTATCCTCTTGGCTTAAATCCAGTTCACTTCAGCTGTGACGGAATAATATTATCATCCAGCAAAGGCAATGTTTTTCAACCTTTGTTTCATTCTTTTCTCACTATGGAAAAAAATACATTAAATTTAAATTCTCCTTAAATACTATGGAATAAGATTCTAGAAACCACTGTAATAGCTCTAAGATTTTTTAAATCCTCCCTCTTGGACAAGAATCCATTTTTTGCCCTCTTGGGGACATTATCACCTCTGGGGGAGTATAGAGGGCTGTGAGAGGAGTTAGTGGTCTCATTGAAGTTACTGGAAGACTATTAGTATCTGTCTTTGGCATCAAGGCAAGTATATTACCACATATTACAGATAAAGGTCAGCAGAAAGGTGAAGGGGGATCCAGGCAGCTGAAAACAAAGCCCTCTCCTTCAAAGTGCTTCTTTCAAGAGGAGTGTGAAAATCAGTTAAATTTGGTTTGGAAAGAAATTTGATCTTCACAGGAACAAAGTGCTTTATAGCTCCTTAGAGACAGAGTCTCGCTTAGAAGTTTATTCTAGGTCACACGAAGATGTCTGAGTAGACTCTTTTATGAGCTCTCATGGATCTAGATAGGCATTCTGGCTGATTTAGTTTCACATGAGACCGTAAGTTCTTACTATCCTTTCTTTGTTCCTTTTGACAATGCTAATGTTACCAGATTATCTGTACTAGATGGATGTGGGTACTGATATAAAAGGAGTGAAAGAATGAACAAAGATCTATAGAACTCCATAGATATGGTGGTGGGGAAGGAGTCAAACCTTTCACTGTGCGCTCCTGAATGAATGAATGGTGTGTAAAAACCCTGAAGCCATCTACTGAAACTCGACATCTGATGCTTGCAGGATGCTTGGGTAAACAGGGCCCTACCCACTTCTATGTTAAGAAATCGGGCTTTTCATTGTTGACTTTAAAAGGTATTTTTTTATTGTGTTAAAAAGCATATAACATAAATCTACCCTCTGAACAATTTTTATGTGTTGTTAACCATATGTACAAGCTTGTACAATATCACTAGGTTTTTTCATCTTGTAGAAGTCAAACTCTGTACCCATTGAACAATTCCCTATTCTCCCTCCCCTTACCTCCTGGCAACCACCATTCTTGTTTCTACTGCTATGTGTTTGATTCCTCTACATACTTCATGTAAGTGGAATCATACAGTATTTGTCTTTTCATAATAGGATTATCTCATGTAGCATAATGTCCTGAAGGTTTACCAATATTGTGCCATATGACAGGATTTCCTTACTTTATAAGGCTGAATATATTCCATGATGCCATATTTTCTTTATCTATTCATCTGTTGATGGACACATGGGTGGCGTCTACCTCTCAGCTCTTGTGAAGAAGGCTGAAAATGCACGTGGGGGAGCAGAAATCTCTCTGAGACCCTGTTGTCAGTGCTTTCAACTAGATAATTCCAGAAGAGGAATTGCTGGATTGTTAAAAGGAATTGCTGCCTCATTTGAAATTATGGGTGAATTTGCAGCCTGATTTTCCAAAGCCCTGGTCCCTAAGTCCATGCATGAACACCCCAGAAGTAGCCTGTTTCCAGGTGTCCAGATCTGCTGTTGTTGAGACGGCCTTGCCTGCATTCTTCCTATTTTACCTCACCCCATGGTCACATTCCTTTGTTCAAGTTTTATTTTTTTTTTCAATGATTTGTGCCTGGATTCAAGACTTTTCATGATATTTTCCCACTTGGCTCTCCTTGCTTATTCTTCAGCTGCCCCAGACACTTTCAATGCACAGAAACAAATCCAGAAAAAACACTCCAAGTGTGTGCAGCATTTGAGTCTAATAAATAACCACCTTCAGCCAACCTCAAATGGGAACAATCAAAATTTTATGATCTTGCATTTGCAATAGGAATATGCTTCGCCTGTATAGTGACCAGGTATCTATGCATACAACATATACTTTAATATAAAGTCACTTAGTACATTTATATATAAATACAAATGAAGTGTTAAATGCTATTAATGTAGGCAAGTCTGTGTAATTCCAAATCCCCATTGTGTTATCATTTTTTTCAACCACTTGAAATGAAACTTGAGACTGGTGGCTAGGGCTGGATGGGGTGGAGGAGGAAGGTGATGGAAAGGAGGAGTAGTTAAAAGGAATGGGGAGAAAAGAAACAAAAACATCCCCCGCTCCCTTCTCATCCTGCTTGAAATGGAAATTCCAGCTGGGTCATTTCATGAGGACGTTACTATCAGAGGGGGCAATATTTAGGTGTAAATTGCAGGAAAGATCTAAGGCAGGGTTTTCGTCATTAAGAGAAGCCACAGTATTGGAGTTTTTGTGTCTATCTTCAGAAATAAAAGGCAAAGACCACCAAAGAGCAGGCAATCTTGAAGAAAAATGACATTATGAAAACTGGAACCACATGGAATATCCCCATTAATCACAACACATGTATATAGGATCTGACAGTGTAATTTAAAGGCAAGTTGCATTCAACAGTTGGCCCACGACATGGGGCAGGGAGCGCAAAGATTCTACATGCAAGCACTTTCACTTTAGATTCCATTTAAAGAATGTCTCAGAATTTGGTCTCAATCCTGATGGCACATCTTGCATGCTCCAAATTCCCCCAAATTCACTACACAAATCAGAAACAGAATTTTTCTCCAAAGAACTTCTCAGATTGCTCAAGAAAATATCATTTGTGCCCATCAGAGTGATGGAAACTGGAAAGGACACCAGGCCCTGAGCCAGATCAAAGCTGTCCTGATCAGCAAATTAGATTTTCAGTATCTCTCAGGATCAGTAGCAGATGGTTTTTTGGACTCCACTATGTTAGGGATGTCATCTTCCTTTGGTGAGAAGCGGTGGATATTGTTCAGGTTTAGACCGCCTCCACTAAGATGACCCATCACTTTTTCTCACCCTAAGCAATTATTTCCTAATAGTTCACATTTCATTACTTGTTCTGATTGGACATTTGGTTTTAGCCTATGGATGTCATTCTCCAGGGAATCTCAGTTCAGACTGACTTTGGCCATAAGTGACAAGCTTTTACAGCAACCCCACAGTCAAGCATTTCTCTCTCCTTGATATCTAGTGATCTATTTTACTTTGAAGGTGCCATATTGTCTCATATCTGTTAAAAGAGCAACTGAACAGATATTTTTGAAACATGAAATGATTTTACTGTTAGGTTGAATTTGTTTCTGGTGTTGATTTTGATTTGAACTAGAATTGTGCCAAGAAAGCTGTTTCAGACACAGCTATTGGGGAGAAGGGCAGAAACTAAATCTTAAATGTGTCAATGACTAAAATAGAAGAAGCTGATTTATTAAGCACAGTAAAATAAAAAGGAACTGAAGACTAAAGAAAGCTTTTTGCGTCCACAGAAGTCACAAAGACTGGCGAAAAATTCAATCATGACTGACAAGTCCATACAAAATCCCACTCTCATGTTGCTAAAAGATTCTGTAAATGTGAAGTACAAATAGGAGATTTTGCTCACAAATGGAGGGTTGCTATCACTAAAGAAGAATCCCATGTTATATCGCTTTTGTACCTCCATAATGTTCAGCTCAGTTCCATGTACCAAGAGGCACAATATTTATTTGCTAAGTTGAATCCCTAAACCAAGCCCATTTATATTCATTTCGTTCTATACTTCAACTCTTCCGTTCATTAGAAAACAGTCAAAGTCATTCTTTTTCCACCATCCAAACAAAACTCACAGAAATTTGTAGTCAACCTACAAAAATTATGTGTGCATATATGTATATACAATCCAGGGTTTGAAGTACAGCTAATACTCTCACAAGTACTACAGGTTGTGTATCCCTTACCCAAAATACTTGGGACCAGAGGTGTTTTCAATTTTACATTTTTGCAGATTATGGAATATCTGCATTATACCAGTTCAACATCTCTAATCTGAAAACTTGAAATGCTCCAAAATCTCAAACTTTTGGGATGTCAAAATGACACTCAAAGGAAATGCTCATTGGAATACTACAGATTTTGAAATTTTGTATTAGGGATGCTTTATCTACCACCAGCTACCTCTAAAACTACCTCTAAAACTCCACTGCTTCCTCTAAAACTACCACAATGAGCAGCCTGCAATGAGTGAGACAGTGTGCAAGAGGTACTTATGTGTGTCTGTATAAAAGATATATAAACCCACAGAAACACTGCAAGGAAGATATTTTATTACCTAAGGAAATAGAGGCTCAGAGGGGTTAAGTAACTTGCCCAAGGGCAAACAGCTACAAA